AGATTGTAATGTGCATCAGGTACTCAGTGTCTGGCAAATGAAACATGCGATCATTCCATTGCTACTGGAGGAGAAAGCCTGGATCACTAAATCCCTTTATGTTGATTTTGATGTTAATCATTACTGTATTTCTTGAAAAAAGGAGTGTTATAAAATTGTCAATGTGACAATCCATGCAACGATGTGATCATATAATGTGTTCATAGTCATTCGTGATAGTGATTGTTGGTCCAATATACAATGGCAAAGCTCTCAGTCTCAGCGTTTCTTCCTGTGGATGGCCAGCAGTGACTCAGAGCTTAAAAGTATCAGTTTTCTTCACAGGGCTGGGATAAAAAGTACTTAGGGTAATCTTCAACCAAGGAACTCTACTTTGACATGGTATGAGATGTAGGCACAAGTAGGTAGGTGCTTAGTTCCTATAGTCAGCAGTTGTGTAGGTTTAGTCGGGTTAGCTTAGATTAGGCTATGTTAGTTTTTTTAATTTGCCAAGTGTCCATAAAAATGTGACCTGAGCAATGAGCATACCTGAATAACCTGACAGCTGACCTAACCTCAATCATCACACATATTTGCAGCCTACCCAAGACCTGCATAGCAGTAGCACCCAGTTATAGGTAGGTACTCACCCTAACTCAATTTTACCTGCTAACCTTCAACTTGCCAATAGTTAGCTCACCTTGCCAAGCTGCATCCAGGGAAACAGTCACCAGCTCATTGGGTGGCTGGTGTGAGTCTGTGCATTTAAAGTGTTTCTTCTCTGAAGCTGCTCTGCACTGCTGTATGTCATGTTAGATGCTCAGAAAATGTGGGAAATGATTACTAAGCTACTTAAGTGCTTTGTTATTTATTTATTTATTTCACATAATCCGGTCATTCCACAGTACAGGGCTATTCATAGACCGTCGTCATACATGATAATCACACACGGTTAATCGCGGCACGAACCTGGCGTTTAAGCATGCGTATTGAAGTGACATGGATGTTTTCACTGATAACGAATTGGTTGTAAAGGCTAGCGGCACGATATGTAAAAAGTCTCTTTCCATGGTTGTTGTGAGCACGTCCTGGGTTCAAGTGATCTGACTGTCGAGTTGTACGATGGATGGTCTCATGATTGTATGAAAGACTAGATCGAATTGCACATGGTTCACCGCTCGTCAAAATCTTATGAAGCAAACATATGTCAGAGAATTTCACAAACTGTTGAGCATCTAGCCATTCCAAATCGCGAAGTACATCAGATATGTGATCGTATTTGCGGCGGCCTGACAGCACTCTAGCGGCGAGATTAAACACTTTTTGTACTTTCGCAATCACAGTCAGGTTAGCACTGCCATAAACTTGTACACAATAGCGGATATGTGAAAACACGAGCGCGTCGATCAGGCGAGGTAAGACATCAGGTGGTAAGATATGTTTAGCATGTGAAAGAGCAATGAGTATACCTATACATCGGCTGGTAACATGAGTCACATGCAGCTCCCAGGACAGAGTCTGATCCATGATTACGCCGAGGTTCTTAACGCTGGATGAAAATTGAAGCTCCTGGTTCATGAAACGAATTGTGGGAATCACGCTAATTGCTTTGAGTTGGCGCCTATCCCCGCATAAAAGAATCTCAGTTTTACTCGCGTTTACAAGCATTCCATTTTGCATAAACCATGTTTGTAAAACATTTAAGACACTTTCTAGAGAGGTTTTCATATCTAAAATCCTAGCACGGGGACCTGTGATTGCGATCTGAGTGTCGTCAGCATATCTAACAAATGTTATACGGAAACCATTGAGCTCGGTTGGGACATGACATGCAATGTCGTTGGACGCGATGTTGAACAGTAGCGCTCCAAGGCACGTCCCCTGGAAAGTGCCGATGGAAATGTTCAGAGGCGCCGACAGTGTAGCGCCAACCCTTACGCGCTGCGTGTGACCTCCCAGGTAGCTTTTGAACCAGCCGGGTGATACCTGATGTTGTTGTAGCTTTGTCAAAAGGTTGGCATGGTCAATCACATCGAAACAGCGGCTCAGGTCTAGCAATGTTAAAATCGTCACCTCTGATTGATCCATGCCTCGTAAAATCGCATCTGTTACTGTTAAAAGCGCCGTACAGGTTGAGTGTTTAGCTAAAAATCCATGCTGGTCAGAGTTTATGAGGCCTTCAGCGTTTAAGTATGAGACAAGTTGCTCGTGAACAAGCTTCTCGACAAGCTTACATATGGTCGGCGTGAGTGTGATGGGTCTGAAGTTCGAAACGACAGCGGGGTCGTCTCGTTTATGGAGAGGTAATACTACTGCCCTTTTCCAGGATTCGGGCACGGTTTCTGAGACTATGCTTTTATTTATAATTCTGAGAAGTGTTCTACCTATAGTACTAAATGTTTGCTTCAATATAGCTATCGGTATGTCATCGTCAGTGGCTGCTGATTTGTTTGGAAGAGAGAAAAGCACTCGTCGCAGCTGGTCGAGTGTCACAGGCATAAGGTTTAATTTGCCGGTGTTGACTCGAGGGAGACGTGTGTTTAGTGGTTGTCTCCCTGATTGTGTGTAGTCACTCATGACCTTGTCCCTGGTTTCTGTGCCAATGGATGTAAAGTAGGCATTCAATTGATCGGGTGTGAGGTTGACAGGCTGCGTCGGTGGTCCGCGCCTTGGGGCAATCACCGGCTGTAATTGGCGGTACAGCTGCGATGGAGGGGAGCCTCTTACGCGCTGTGAGATGTCATCGCGTCTGTCCCTTCTAATGGCCCTTTTGACAGCAATGTTGAGTCGCCTGTACGCTTCCATGTTCCCGTCTCGCCTCGCTTCTCTACGCAGGGCCATTAACTCTAACGTGTCGTCACTGACGGGCGGTGGCGAGGGGTTATGTACACGGAAACGTCGGATGGGGGCATGCATATCTAAGATGCGGTTCACCTGGTCACTGAAACACTCCCATTGACGTTCACACGTGTCGTCACGCCGCACGGTCACATGCCAGTCTGTGTTACGCACATCAGTGATGAGATCGGACATGTTCATAGCGCGCCAGTTACGGCCAGTGCGATATACGGGCCGAGATTTAGTGCGCTGGATAGAGGTCCGTACAGTCACTCGCGAGTGGTGAGATGAGATATCACTGGGCTGAACAATGCATGATGATGTCACATCCTCTCCACACAGTTCATTCGATATCAGCACAACATCGAGCACAGAGTGAGTGTCGCCTCGGTGGAAAGTCGGCACTGTTACCTGGTTGTTTATGCCGTTGTTTATGGTTGGTTGGTTGTTTATGTTAATGCTCGAGACATGAACAAGGACAGATCCTGCAGGGTACAGCTATGAGTTAGGTGCTAGGTGAGTATGTTATGTGAATGCGCTGTTCCCTGTTTGACCATAATAAGTATACAAACAAGCACAGGGTCACAGTTATATTCAAGCTCCACATAAACATACAACAAAAACGGCCATATAGTCTCACTCCGAACACACCACAAAGAACTTAAGCCTTTGCAGGCACAAAAATGCTTTGATTTACAGGACAGGTATACAATATAGGTATCCTCTGTCCTTGGGGATCTTGCTGCGAAGTTGAGGTACGATGACTGAACTTCAGGATTGATCAACCTTTTCTTCTTAGCCACTGCTTATATACGAGAAAGACCAAATGCTTGTTTGTAAACTGCCTTGAAAACTTAATGATCCACCTTCAATTCTGACATGAAGGCACAAATAAAATAGTTCCCTTTCCTTTTGGAATACACAAAGCAAAATATTTAATAACTTCTAGTGGATGGACAAGAGCAATTAGCATAGCTTCCCCTCAAGTTAACTTCTGGCACTGATGAATTACACTGACGCTTATTCGCTTCATATTTTGTAACAAACGCGCTAAAACTGCAATATAACAGCACTATATGCTTTTTGACAAAATGCAGAAGTAGAAAAAATTTAGCCCTGATGGCATTCATTCTTGGTGGAAACGTAATTACAAAATATTTTGTAGTAACTATTAAATTCCGGCCGAAAACAGTGCACGGTTTAAAAAAGAATCATTCCAATGACGGTCCATTCTTGCGGTCCTGAAATCGCCACTATTTCCGGCCTCTCCAACGCAACTCGTTGTCCAGACGTAAATATGCAGCGCCCGGGTGGGCAGGGTAACCTTTGACCGGTCGCACGGCCGAGCAGCTGTCACCAGTACAGCCTCTGACAGTGATACCCCGCTCACTTCCCCTGCGCGGGCACTGAGCGCAGCTGGATGGAACAAAACATGTATAAGAAAAATGTAAATTAAAGCATGTTGTAAATCAAGAAGAACAATGAATTTTCTTCACAGGTATCCTGAATAACTTTAATAGCGATGTGGACAGTTAAACTGACAAATATGACATTTATTTAGTAGAACGAGAGCCGAACGTTCTTTCCGTGGCTGGTCAGGCGGGCCGAGAGCGCCGGGTCTGCGAGAGGATAAGGGTCATTTCACGCTTCTGTGTGGCCGACTTTGGTCCATCGTGACACTAAGCTGTGTGATTGCGCCTTATTGTCGGCTGTGGGAGACGCATATTAATGTTAGGAAATATTGCTTCGCTAAATATCGTTCTTTTGGCGTTCAGCATTCACTGGAACTCGAAAAAACATGTTTATGTTTTCAAGAATGTCCGGGACAGCCCGTTGAATAAAAAAATATAAAGTTTTTACAAAAACGCAATTTTCAAAAAAGGCCATCGATCGATTTTGATAAAAATTACATTTTTGGATTCAGCTCACCGTCAGCTTTCGAATGGTATATACCGTTTCTTTTGAGCCTGAGATGACCTTCCGACGAACCGTGCCGACTGACGGCCGGCCCGTCCCCGACTGATAGCCCCGACTGACCGCCGGCGCGTGCCGTGTCCGTGCCGTCAGACCCGGGGCCGGCGGCCGGCGCTGGCCATGTCGGCCGCGGACAGGGGGCCGGGCCCGGCGCCGCTGGCCGAGCCCGAGCACCGGCCGGCGGCCACCGCCTACCTGTTCGGCTACAGCGTGCTCATCCCCATCATCTCGGCACTGGGCGTGGTCGGCAACGCGCTCAACCTACTGGTGCTGACCCACGGCCGGCGCCACCTGCGCCACTCCATCTACGTCTACTTCACCTGTGAGTCCCCGCGACACTCAGTCCGCGTCTACTTCACCTGTGAGTCCCCGCGACACTCAGTCCGCGTCTACTTCACCTGTGAGTCCCCGCGACACTCAGTCCGCGTCTACTTCACCTGTGAGTCCCCGCGACACTCAGTCCGCGTCTACTTAGCCTGTGAGTCCCCGCGACACTCAGTCCGCGTCTACTTCACCTGTGAGTCCCCGCGACACTCAGTCCGCGTCTACATACTTCACCTGTGAGCCCCCCCCCCCCCCCCTGCGACACTTAGTCCGCGTCTACTTCACCTGTGAGTCCCCGCGACACTCAGTCTGCGTCTACTTGTCTACTTCACCTGTGAGTCCCCGCGACACTCAGTCCACCTCTACTTCACCTGTGAGTCCCCGCGACACTCAGTCCGCGTCTACTTCACCTGTGAGCCCACGTCTACTTCACCTGAGTCCCTGCGATACTCAGCCCACGTCTACGTTACCTGTGTGCGCCTCCTTTACCCGAGAGTGGACTCCACAGTGGAATGAACGTGTGGACGTCTTGTCTCCGACGGCCACTGCACTGGTCGGACGTGTTTCAGTCCTATGGACCTGCTGTTGTCACTCAGTGATAAGTGTGTTTCAGTTCTGTCTCTGCTGTACGGTAGTTGGACGCGTTTCAGTCCTAGGACCTTGCTGTTTTGTTCACTGGACGTGTTTCAGTCCTGTCTCTGTTGTCCACTAGATGGACGTGTTTCAGTCCTGTCTCTGTTGTCCACTAGATGGACGTGTTTCAATCCTGCTGGTGTTGTTCAGTGGTTGGGCGTGTTTCAGTCTCGGTAGTTGGACGCGTTTCAGTCCTGTCTCTCAGTGGCTGACGCGTTTCAGTCCTGTCTCTCAGTGGCTGACGCGTTTCAGTCGTGTCTCTCAGTGGCTGACGCGTTTCAGTCGTGTCTCTCAGTGGCTGATCCGTTTCAGTCCTGTCGCTGGCGGATCTGGTCACCTGCCTGCTGGTCCTGTTCAGCGGCATCGCCAAGGGCGTGGCGGCCGACAGCGTGTGGTGGCAGCTGTTTGACGTGTACCTGCACCTCGGCTGCGGCGCCGTCTCCACCACCGCCTCCGTCGCCACCGTCGTCATGGTCACCGTCGAGAGACTCGTCACCATCAGGTAAATCACAGTCCAGGTGGGCGCACTTCTGGGAACGTAAATTACTACATCGGCGTACTTTTGTTCATAATAAATTCAAAGCCGCCATTTCGGCCATGAGTAGGCCGGAACTTACCATAAGTAGGTACTTTTCCGGATCAGGATGAGAATTTTACAGGCTAACTGCTAGGGCTCCTGAGTCTGAATCTGAACATGAGCTGCAGAACATTGGACTATTGTGATCAAACACGACATTCTGTAACCTCTACAAGCCTTTCGGCCGACGACTTCAGGCCCAATCCTACCCTACCCCCAAATTTCAAACATACAAGATGTAGGATTTTCATTTGGTGTTAACGGATGTGTTGACTAGGTACGAGGTCATTGGCGCCCAAAATAAACTGTTACCAGTGACGTAGCCAAGGGGGGGCACGGAGGTCATGCCCCCCCCCCTAAACCCTAACCTAACCAAATTTAGTAAAAAACAAAAATAAATATACACAGCTACACCACACCCTAAAATAGTGGGCCAAATCCGAGGAGTTTTCCTGTTTGGAGGCGGTACGACACTAAGCCGCGACCTGCAATGCCCCTCCCTGAGCAAAATCCTGGCTACGTGATTGACCTCACGTCTTATTTCATCTTTACTGGCCATCATCGGCTGTAAGAAAAGGCGCTACTTGAATAAAAAGGTGCTGAATGATACTCTGGCCCAATTTAAACTTATCACACAATTAATCAGGATGCATTACGCACTGGCTATTAGCTGTTGTCGAAAAGCATCCCTCGTTTTTTCTCGATGCACCTATTCTAGGCGGCAAGCTGCAGTGGACACATTCTAAGACCGTTTCAGAAGCCCTTACCATACAGATCGTATATAGCATAGGTGTCGATTTGTATACTTTTGGGGGTGCCCGGGCACCCCCAATGCTGAGTTGGGCACCCCCCAAGGTGCTCTGGGCACCCCCAACCAAAGTTGGTACTGGCATCACTATCACGGTTCTTTGAGCGCATTATTATTATTTTTTAATTACCTACCGTACATGTAAAGAATGCGTTGTAAAAAAATTACGCGATTTTTTTTTTTTTGCTTTGTTTATACCAGAGTCAAGACAGCAGCATTTGGTAGCCATCGTCGCATTCGTACCGCGTCAATGGGGCGGTGTTTCACGGCCGGTAGTAGCGTGCTGAAAGCACACGTGTCAAATTGGGTTTCCATGGAGACGTTGACAAACTCGGACCCTCCAACATAATAGACCCCGCGTTCGATGTCTCTCGGACGACGAAGATTCTATGTCGTCCGGCCAATCCCGTTCAAGGTCAGCGGGGGCTCGGCTGCGGTTGTGGAACGTGATTTGCCGGACGGCGTAGAATCTTCGTCGTCAGAGAGACATCGAACGCGGGGAGAGTTTTCGGTTCCGGACGTCCTTGAGTTTGTTTTGAGTGGCGGGGCTTGGGCGGGGCAGTCTTTTGGTCCGAAAGGCGACAGATCATGGCTTAATCTGGGATTCTGCCTCTGGTGAGAAAGAACTTAAGAAGCATGGACATCAGAAGGTTTTTTACCAAAAGAGTAAGTCATTGGTGTGATATACGACTGCATGATTATTGCTTAGGATTGCATACGATGGCATGATAGGTATTGCCGCTGGCTCTTTTTCCGTTGTTTTATAGTCTAAGGCTCTTCTATTTATACTAACCAGAAGAGGCCCCTAGGACTGATGGTCTAACAGGCCCTTCTATTTATACTAGCCAGAGGAGGCCCATGATACTGATTGTCTGAGAGGCCCTTCTATTCAAACTAGGCAGATGAGGCCCCTGAGAATGATAGTCCGAAGAGCCATGCGGCGGCAACTGGCCGTGACCATATTTCGGCTCGGTAGGGCCCCACAGAGCTCATGAGAGCACCTCAAGGGCTCCTAAGTAGACACGCTTATCCCCATAAGGGTGCCACGCCGGCTTCTGAAGGCTCCTTGTAGGCATCTAAAGGGCCCTTTCCGGCCTCCAACGGCTCCACCCGCCTGTGATGGCTCCACACCAGTGTTAATGGGCGCCACACAGCGGCGCCTTTGAGGGTCATACTAGTGTCTCTTAGGGCCCTATATCGGTGGCTCTGGGGGCCCCACACCGGCGCCTCTGTGGGCCACCACACCTGTGTATCTCAAGGCTCTATAGGTATATCTGAAGGACCCACACCGACACCTCTGAGGGTCCCACACCAGTATCTCGGAGCTCTGAAGGCCACACACCGGTGACTCTGAGGACTCACCGGCTCCTGAGAGCACCATGTTGATGTCTAACGGCTCCACAAGGCCACTGAAGGCACCACACAAGCTCTCACTGAGCTCTAATGTCCATGTACCGGCCTCTGAGGGATTTAAGCCAGCGCATTCATAGCTCCACACCAGCAATTGTAAGGGCTTCACACTGAAGTATCTGAGGGTTCCACACCGGTGTCTCTAAGGGCCACATACCGGCATCTCTGAGGGCCCTATACCGGCGTCTCCGAGGGTCCACATCTGGCGGGCACCCATCAGCGACTGAAGGTCCCACACTATCGACTCCGAGAGCCCCATCTGCGTCTGGGAGCAACATGCCGTCTCTAAGAACCACAGCGGCCCCTCCGTACGAAAGATGGGCGTCTGCATGCCAAATGGGAGCGGTTCTGAGACAGTAGGGCACCTACGTGCAATAGAGGGGCGCCTATGAAGCCCATAGGGGCGCCTCAATGCGAAAGAGGGGTGCCTCTGAGGCCAACATATATGGGCGTCCACATGCAATGGAGGTCTGCGACTGCAATTGATCAATGCCATGGGGGTGCATTCATAAGAAACAGGGGCGCCGGCATGGCAAAGAGAGGCGCCTTCAAGTGTCCATAAAAGAGAGACGCCTATGATAAGCGCACATTGTATGCGACAACGGGGCGACTGTGGGACATAGGGATGTCTCTGATGACTATACATAGGGCGCTTATATGCCAAAGAGGGCGCCTATGAAGCTAATGGGGGCACCTGAGAAACGAGGAAGACATTTGCGTAAGGGTTTTCAGGGGTCATGCGCCGTTTGCGGCAAATAGATTCTAAAAAAATCGGAGGGGGAATAAGTTTTAAAAATGGCGCGGACTTTCCACACTGTTCGCTTAAGCGGTTACGCCCCTGGGTACATCTGCCCGATCTCAGAAGCTAGATTTGGAGGTCATACTTGAAAGCAGCCAGCAGGACGAGGCAAAAGTTGGAGGCCCCTGAAAATAGGAGGCCCCCTGGAAAAGGAGGCCCCTTGACAGGGTGGCCCACCCACTTTTCATGACGTTCCTACGCCCGTGCCGGGGGGGGGCAGTGGGGGCAGCTTCCCCCCCCCCCAACTCTGGGGCCGTGGGGGTGGTGCCCCTACGCTTTTAGACGGAATACCACACTTTTTTTTGCAAATGTTTTCTTTTTTGTTGAAAAAGCCAAGGGATGAAAAATAAGTGGCCTAAAACCGGTGAGAAAACTAGATTTGGGGGTACCCTAGGTTGATCTTTATCTGAAAGTAGTTCCCGCGCCCCTGCTCTGGGCACCCCCAACCATTTTCACAAATCGACACCCTTGGTATATAGCTCTAACGAGATGCCATTTGCAGTGGTTTGCAGGTTTAGTGTTGGAAAATGAAAAAGCTGCTAGGATTCGACATGATTCTCTTTTCTTTTCATTAACGGCTGCGGACACTCAACTTCCTCATAATATCGGCAGTCGAGTGGTTTAACTGAAATCAGAACAGGTCGTTTGGATCGCGCAGTTAAAGGTAGTGTGCCAGCTTTCCTGGACCGTATGGAGTTAATGGCCCAGATAAGGAGAACCGGATTTTAAGAACTTATCCATACCTTCAAAACTCATGGAAACGTCTTAAATTCTTCAAATTTTGAGTACCCCAGTGCGAAATTCGCCCCGACGGGTTGTCGGTCGTACCCCAACCACATTTCACACCACTATGAACAATAAATGCACACACTGAAATCGCTATTACCGATATGCTCATCCAATCAAGTTTCGATAAACCCGTTCATCATCATCTCCTGCGGTTTCGAACACGCCTGTTAGGTGGTGCGGTAGACCGCGCCCAAAGCCAGGGCCCCCGTAACGTGAGGTAGCCGAGTCGGGGCAGCGTGCGCTGACCCAAGCCGGGGCCGCGCGTCCTCCCGGTGTCATGTGATAGCCCGGGGCTGCCCGCGGGGATGCGGTAGACCGCGCCCAAAGCTGCGGCCCCGGCTTGGGTCAGCGCACGCTGCCCCGACTCGGCTACCTCACGTTACCGGGGCCCTGGCTTTGGGCGCGGCTTCTGCTCATACTTTGTGGTGCGGTGGTGGTGCGTCGGGCCGCGCGCTCTGACTTCGGCCAAGAAAAATGCGTCAGCTGATCATTGTCATTTCTGCCACTTGCGTGTGGTGAAATGGGGTCATAACTTAAGAGACGGCTTTTTCATATCAATTATTTTACATAAAATCATATTTCAAACCATAAATAATGTTCGACAGCCAAATAAAAGAAACAATACCAATACAGGCTTACAGTTCAAGGCTCGACATTGTGTTGTCTACGATTAGACAGCTGATAACTCATTCCCGTACGTCGTAACTCTATAATGACCTTTGCTTATTGTCACATGTGCGCCGCATTCGCGATTGTTGCCGACGCCTGTTTGCAGGTCAGCCCACTACAGTTGTTATACATATCGAAAAACCGATAAACTTTTAGGCGAAAAAGGCACTATTCCAGGCCCATTTTTGATTTTCTTTGCGATATTAGGTAAAAACAGAAGCTTCTTATCCTAGGAAAAATAAAATGGGAAATCTTTCAAAGGTGGCACACTACCTTTAAAAGAAGGAACCATGAATTGCTGGAACCATTAGGTACCTATAACCCTTACTTTTGACAGTCCGGGGACCGGGAGCCAGACAACATCGTTCTGCCAAAACACTGGGTGACAATAGTTGGACGGCGTCACTAACTGGGTCTGCGTGTTTATCGGATCGTGGGCTGTGTCCTTTGGCTGAGCTGTTAATGTCTCGGTGACGTCATTTAAGTCCGGCCGCTGCTGGCGGGCCCAAACGGAGCTGGCTGTGTTACAGAGCCGAGTCGAACAGAGGTAAACAGAGCAGGGAGGTCGAGCTGGCGCCGTTCCCAGCGAACCGGCAGGACGGGACACACTGCGCCCGTAGAGACTGGTGGGTCTGGCGACAGACTGGTGATACAGACTGCTGACACAGACGGACGCTGGTGGCACATACTGGTACCACAGACGACAGCCTGGTGACACAGACTGGTACCACAGACGACAGGCTGGTGACCCAGACTGGTACCACAGACGACAGGCTGGTGACACAGACTGGTACCACAGACGACAGGCTGGTGACACAGAGGATAGACTGGTACCACAGACGACAGGCTGGTGACACAGACTGGTACCACAGACGACAGGCTGGTGACACAGACTGGTACCACAGACGACAGGCTGGTGACACAGACTGGTGGAACGGACGGCTGGCTGGTGACACAAACTGGTGGCACGGAGGATATACTGGTGACACAAACTGGTGACACAGACGACAGGCTGGTGGCACAAACTGGTGACACAGGTGGTAGACTGGTGATACAGGCTGCTTATGCTGCGTTGCAGCAGCAGCCCACAGTGTGTGATGTGTTGTGTTGCAGCAGCAGCCCAGTGCATGTTGTGTTGTGTTGCAGCAGCAGCCCAGTGCATGCTGTGTTGTGTTGCAGCAGCAGCCCCATGTGTGTGATGTGTTGTGTTGCAGCAACAGCCCCCTGTGTGTGATGTGTTGTGTTGCAGCAGCAGCCCCATGTGTGTGATGTGTTGTGTTGCAGCAGTAGCTGACTAGGTGCGTTGTGTTGAGGACCGCCTGCGCTGCGCTGTGTTGCAGCCGGAGCCGGCTGGCGCGCTGGTACTGCACCCGGCCCGTGGCCTGGCGCGTCTGTCGCGTCATCGTCGCGGTCAGCATCGCCTTCAACATCCCCTACTTCCTGCCGTTCACGGTGGACGCCGACGACGGCATCCGGCCCACAGCCTTCTACTTCAGCAGGTGCGAGGGCACGCTCTCAGTACCTATACCCCGGGAGGGCGCACCCACCAGCCGCCAGCGCAAACACGGTGCCGATCTAACTATGTAGTCCCAATTGGTTTGAGGCCTGGCGTATGTCAACAATAACTTCGTGAAATGTCAAACACTTTTATGCCTGTATACTTTTTACAAATACTTTTATGCAGAACTTATTCTTTGGAGCGCTCTTGAGAGGAACATTATGAATATTAAAGAGAGAAAATATATGAAAAATTGACCTCTCCTCGACATTTAAATTAATTGAATAGCCAAATATTACTGTATTGATATTTCGACCAACAGCCCTTCTTCAGAATAAGACAGTGTACACAAGTGTACGAGAATACAATAAATTTATTGTATTCTAATATAATAAATATATAATAAATTCTATATGTAATTTATATAATATATATATATATATATATATATAAATTGTATATATAAATAATATATAATAAATTTATTGTATTTATTTATTGTATTCTAATATAATAAATATATAATAAATTATAAACATAATTTATATAATTTAAATTATATAGATAAATAATATATAATCAATTTATTGTATTCTCGTACACTTGTGTACACTGTCTTATTCTGAAGAAGGCCTGTTGGTCGAAATATCAATACAGTAATATTTGGCTATTCAATTAATTTAACCCTCGCCGGACCTATTTGTTTCCTACATTCGCGCCGGCCTAGGAGGGAGCGGGTACGACCCCCCCCCCCCCTCGCCGTTTCGCCCCTGGTGGAGCTAGCGCGTCGCGGAAAAAAACGAGCGTGTGCGCCGTTACGAGACGCAAAGATTGATACCCGATTTTAAGGTCCTAGGTCAACCGGTGACCTCTGAGGTCAGGTCAAGTGCCCCAAGGTACGGTTCAGTTTTTGGTGAATAACTTCGCAAAAAACGGCCGCAGAGCCGCGATTTTGGCAGCATCGTGTTCGCCTCGCTCAGGCGCGTCGAATGATATACTTTTTGTCCGGGTCAGGTCAACTTGGGGTGTTGACCTCAGGTCAAGGTCAGGTCAGCACCCCCAGGTCACGAAGAAGGTCGAAAGAGGTCATGTCGCATATCATTCGATTCGGCAGGTCTTCCTGAGTCCATTGGTGGCTTTCCCGACTCGCTAGCTCAATTTGATCAAGAGTTATTGACGAAAAACCAATATGACCTTGATGACGTCATAAATGACGTCACGCAAGGTCAACATTGCAGAAGTGACACATCTAACCTTCCAAGGAGTGCATCAAATCACGATTCTGTGTGCTTGAGATAGTTGGAGATCGTTCCCGGCGCCAGAATAGCAGTTTTCATTTTTCCCATTGACTTATAATGGTGAGGTCACGAAGATGACCTGACCTCATATGACCTTTAGGAAAAATCCGAGATATACAAGTTGTGAGACTCATAATGGATACTAGATCCTGCAAGTTTCATTTCCCTGTGACATCTCCTCTGGCAGTGAGGGCGTTGCGAAGTTGCGACATCTGAAGACCGTGCAGAGGTTCACTTATGACGTCATAGGTCAGTGACCTGACCTGACCCAAAATTCGATTGGTGTCAAAAGATCCGGCTTGAATCAAAGGTCAGGTATGCCAAGTTTCAGCTCTCTATCCCCAGCGTGTTTGGAGCTATCGCGAAAAAAACCCTATGGGGGGCGGCACCCGCCCCCCCCCCCTTCGGCCGGCGAGGGTTAAAAGTCGAGGAGAGGTCAATTTTTCATATATTTTCTCTCTTTAATACTTTTATGTCTTTAATTAAGAGTATGCCTGCCTCCGCCGCTATCACGCATGACCCGTCGAGAGTTGCTGACTGCTGACCGATCCGCTGACCCGCCGGGGGCCGCTGACCGATCCGCTGACCCGCCGGGAGCCGCTGACCGATCCGCTGACCCGCCGGGAGCCGCTGACCGATCCGATGACCCGCCGGGGGCCGCTGACCGATCCGCTGACCCGCCGGGAGCCGCTGACCGATCCGCTGACCGATCCGCTGACCGGGCGGCGGGCCGCCTCCGCAGGTACTACCAGGTGCACAACTGGGTGCGGTTCGCGGTGCTGGGCCTGGGTGCGGCGCTGTTCCTCGGCGTCGGGAACCTGGTGCTGCTGGTGTCGCTACGGAGGAGCTGCGCGCGCCGGCGCACGCTGCTCTCCCAGCGCAAACACTGGGAGGAGCGCCGACTCAAGGTGGGAGCCTGCCGTCGGAGCCGAGGGTGCACCCCCGACTGCCCGGGCGGCGCCTGTGCACCACAATAAAACAGGGCTACTAACAGCGCATAGCTGAACGTGTTTGAACGTACATCAATACCTACCTATCACAAGGAGATAAACAAAGTAGACATTGAAGAGGTGCAACCAGATATGCGCATGAAACCGGCAACACCCCATGTCATACTGCCTCAGAAGCCAATTGTATAAAGTCATCGAGCCTTAAAAACAAAACAGTGTTATTGGTCCATTCAAAAAACCATAACCGTCGATTGGTTTCATATCGGATTAACGCTCCGGTAAGTTACGGAATAATGCATTTTCAAACAGATGATGTCATGTTGGCCCATACACCTATGAATCCCTCGTTTTGTTATTGGCCAAAAGAGGGCAGCCCCGGGCACCCAGCACATTAGGCAACTGTGACGCTGCTAGGGTTACTGGACCCGCTATCGCCGTGACCTTTCTCGAATGCCCCGATTACCTTATTGTGGCTTCATACCGTGAAACGGTCCATTCACCACCGTACCTACCTACCCATAAAACGACATCGTGGCTCTCAAGACGAATTATCTGCTCCTTGCATAGGACAAAAAGTAGCACCATTATGACATAGGCTACGTTTCCATGGCACAAGCTAAGCCGATTTTGCAAAATGGATTTCCTCAACCAGTAAAACGCCTTTTGGGGCGACTAACGGAGCGAGCGAGAGGGTGAGCCTTGCACGTGCGAAATTTCGAGCGGGTACCTCCAACTGACTTGTGCACGGCACCCTACTAACCGGTCTCTAGCGATGTGCCAAATTTGAGCGCCATCGGTCCAGCCGTTCTCGAGATCTGGAAACGACCCCTGCACGTGCGCACGTGCAGCAGCACCCCAAGTCTGGCACATGGATATGCAGTGCCTAGTGGGTGCCTACCTACATGCCAACTTTCAGCGCAATCGGCCCAGTAGTTACCGAGATAGTGCAACAATTACAAAACTGACACCTCTTCGTTTTGCACGTGGCACGTGCATAAGGGGTCACCCACATGCATCGGGAATAGTCAAATACTTGGTAGAAGGAATGAAGCTACCCTACAAAAATTACCGCGTGTAAATCGGTCAAGTGGTTGCTGAGATATAAGCCTCGCAAAAGCGTCCGCACTGCCGCGCCGCTCATACTCAGAAATTTCCGTTAATCTAAGGAAAGACTCCGCTCGCTTCGCTCGCTCCGTAATCATAGCATTTATACATAATTTACCAGTATAACGCCTTTTGGGGCGACTAACGGAGCGAGCGAGAGGGTGACCCTTGCACGTGCGAAATTTCGAGGGGTTTGTTTGTTTGTTTGTCGTTTATTTATGATTATGGGCATGGACAATGGACAGAAATAAAGTTGAATTGGTGCAAAAGCATAAACTTATTACGAGGCACCTCTTCAACAAAACAAAACGAAACAGAGCATCACCGAAATAAACACACACACACACACACCAGGTCCCACGCGCAACCCCGCCGCCCCGACAGACCTTCCGACCACTACAGCTGGACCACACGCGCTCCGCCAGCCTGCGGAGTGCGGCCTCCCCCCTAACTTTGTATGGCGGCCCGTCTGGCCAGACCGGGACGGTGCCATTCCATGGCATATGCCGTCCCGGCCCCGGGGAGAGCTGTGGGATACCTCCCCGGGCCGGGGAGATCTGGTGGATACCTCCCCGGCGCTCCAGACGGGCCGCGAGCCCCGCCCGCACCCCCGGAAAATCATCTTTCCCGGGGGTGCCCCCTAACCACCGCCCGGTACCTCCAACTGACCTGTGCACGGCACCCTACTAACCGATCTCTAGCGATGTGCCAAATTTGAGCACAATCGTCCCAGCCGTTCTCGAGATCTGGAAGCGGCACCCTGCACGTACGCACGTTCAAAATGGGTCCCAACTGACTTTTGCACTGCACCCTACTAACCGGTCTCTAACCATGTACCAAATCTCAGCACAATCGGTCCAGCCGTTCTCGAGATCTGGAAACGACCCCTGCACGTGCGCACGTGCAGCAGCACCCCAAGTCTGGCACATGGATATGCAGTGCTAGTATGTGCCTACCTACATGCCAACTTTCAGCGCAATCGGCCAAGTAGTTACCGAGATATTGCAACAATTACGAAACTGACACCTCTTCGTTTTGCACGTGGCACGTGCATAAGGGGTCACCCACATGCATCGGGAATAGTCCAATACTTGGTAGAAGGAATGAAGCTACCCTACAAAAATTACCGCGTGTAAATCGGTCAAGTGGTTGCTGAGATATAAGCCTCGCAAAAGCGTCCGCACGGCCGGCCGGCCGCTCATACTCAGAAATTTCCGTTAATCTAAGGAAAGACTCCGCTCGCTTCGCTCGCTCCGTAAAAATGTAAATATAGGACCAGTATAGCGCCTTTTGGGGCGACTAACGGAGCGAGCGAGAGGGTGAGCCTTGCACGTGCGAAATTTCGAGGGGGTACCTCCAACTGACTTGTGCACGGCACCCTACTAACCGGTCTCTAGCGATGTGCCAAATTTGAGCACAATCGGCCCAGCCGTTCTCGAGATCTGGAAGCGGCACCCTGCACGTGCGCACGTGCAGAATGGGTCCCAACTGACTTGTGCACTGCACCCTACTAACTGGTCCCTAACCGTGTACCAAATTTGAGCGCCATCGGTCCAGCCGTTCTCGAGATCTGGAAACGACCCCTGCACGTGCGCACGTGCAGCAGCACCCCAACTCTGGCACATGGATATGCAGTGCCTAGAGGGTGCCTACCTACATGCCAACTTTCAGCGCAATCGGCCAAGTAGTTACCGAGATATTGCAACAATTACAAAACTGACACCTCTTCGTTTTGCACGTGGCACGTGCATAAGGGGTCACCCACATGCATCGGGAATAGTCCAATACTTGGTAGAAGGAATGAAGCTACCCTACAAAATTTACCGCATGTAAATCGGTCAAGTGGTTGCTGAGATATAAGCTTCGCAAAAGCGTCCGCACGGCCGGCCGGCCGCTCATACTCAGAAATTTCCGTTAATCTAAGGAAAGACTACGCTCGCTTCGCTCGTTCCGTAATTAGGTGCGAGCTGAAACCATATACAAGTACGCTCATTTTTTACATAAGGTAAATAGTTTCCGAGAAAAACGCACGTTAAATTTCGCTCAATCGATTTAGACATGTCATGGAAACGTATTGATAGGTACCATTGACCAATTTAACCCTCACCGGCCGAGGGGGGCGGGTGCCACCCCCCCCCCCCAGGGTTTTTTACGCGATAGCTCCGAACACACTGGCGATAGAGAGCTAAAACTTGGCATACCTGACCTTTGATTCAAGCCGGATCTTTTGACACCAACCGTATTTTCGGTTCAGGTCAGGTCACTGACCTATGACGTCATAAGTGAACCTCTGCACGGTCTTCAGATGTCGCAACTTCGCAACGCCATCACTGCCAGAGGAGCTTTCACAGGGAAATGAAACTTGCAGGATCTAGTATCCATTACGAGTCTCACAGCTTGTATATCTCGGATTTTTCCTAAAGGTCATATGAGGTCAGGTCATTTTCGTGACCATTATAAGTCAATGGGGAAAAATGAAAGCTGCTATTCTGGCGCCGGGAACGATCTTCAACTATCTCAAGCACACAGAATCGTGATTTGATGCACCCATTGCAGGGTTAGATGCGTCACTTTTGCAATGTTGACCTTGCGTGACGTCATTTATGACGTCATTAGGGTCATACTAGTTTTTCGTCAATAACTTCCGATCAAATTGAGCTAGCGAGTCGGGAAAGCCACCAATGGACTCAGGAAGGCCTGCCGAATCGAATGATTTGCGACATGACCTACTTCGACCAATTTTGTGACCTGGGGCGCTGACCTGACCGTGACCTGAGGTCAACACCCTAAGGTGACTCAACCCAAACAAAAAGTATATCGTTCGACGCGCCTGAGCAAGCTGAACACGATGCTGCCAAAATCGCGGCTCTGCGGCCGTGTTTTGCGAAGTTATTCACCAAAAACGGAACCGTACTTTGGGGCACTTGACCTGACCTCAGAGGTCACCGGTTGACCTAGGACCTTAAAATCGGGTATCAATCTCTGCGTCTCGTAACGGCGCACACACTCGTTTTTTCCGCGACGTGCTAGCTCCACCAGGGTTGAAATGGCGAGGGGGGTCGTACCCCCCCCCCCTCGGCCGGCGCGTATGTAGAAAATCAACAGGTTCGGCGAGGGTTAACCCGCGCCCCGCTGGGAGGGGGCAGAATCTGCCCCCTCCCTTTTTTCGCCAATAACTTCTAAACGCGTTATGCTAGCGACGCCAAACTTTCAGGACCTACTTATCATACATCAATTTAACACGTTTCCTGAAAATTTGAGCGAAATCCATCGGAAAAGTTTTGAGAAAATGACGTTAAAGTGACGTCATGTCCGCCATTTTCGCCTCAAAAACGGTAAAATTTCAAACGCCGCTAACATCTTCATTTGTAAAGGAATCAAGACGTAACACAAACGGTTATACCTAATTCTACTTTGTCTATCAAATGGCTATCTCGGTTTTTTGAAGATTTTGGATTTTGGCCCAACGTTTTTCTCAAAAAGCTGACTTTTTTGGGAAAATAATTACCTATAAAATGCAAAATATTGAGCGTATCGAAAAACCGGAATATATGTCAGAGAAGTTGTCTATGTGCACCTACATACCAATTTTTAGAAGAATCGGTTCAAAAAATGTGGGAATTATTCAAAATTTTATGACGTCACGACAAACAATTTTTTTTTGAAAATGAATTTTTTCGAAGTTGTAGAACTCGTACGGAAACAAAAATGGCACCATTCGATTCGCCGTGAAAAACTGCATCAGATAGACACCTTTTCAGGTCTTAACAACCAACTTCAAAATTTGACCTCACTTGACCTGACCTTGACCTGACCTCGACCTGAAATTCATCCAGATGTGGTCCATATCTTTTA